ACTTCTTACATTGTCATTCCTTTTCTGTTCGGTCCTTTCCATCCTTTCCTTCAATTTGTTCCCTTGCTGTTAGTGCTATCTCCCTTTCTCGTGCTTTCCCCGTTTGCGGTCAGGAATCAGCATTTCTCTCTGCTGGCAACCTCTCAACTCTTAAGGCGAACCGCAATCTTCTGCTGTGAGTCCTTTTATGTCAGAAATATGATCGCTGTCAGAACTTTATAGGCTTGGTTCCAGTCTTTTGCCGTCCGGTTTCAATGATATTATTCATGACCGACGGTTAAATTCCTGTGTCGCTCTCAAAATGGTGTTTGCCTTAATTGATTCATTAGGTCGCAGGTAAAATTGAATATTGAGATTCCGTTCGCTCGATGCTGGGAAAGGTGTAATACATACCAGTCCAACAACGGAACTAAACGTGACTTGGAGCAAGTAACTCAGGCTTCAAAACTCCATGAACACAGATACAAAACGTGTCCATTAAAACGTCTGTAATACGAAAAAGGGATTCCGCAAGCCGCGAGGAAATGGTATCAGTTTTGTTGATTTGATGCGGCAAGAGAAAGGAAAAAGGAATCACAATCGCAAAGCCCGTGCGAGGACTCGAACCTCCACCTGCCGCTAAATCTGTCGGGCCAATGTGCAATTTTTGGCGGGCGACCTACATTAGTTGCGACGGGCTTACTAGAGGTGTTGCATGCATTGACAGCTAGGCTTGCATTCGGGGTTCGAGACAAGTACCGATGTTATCGAATCGACCTACCCACCGAGTTCAACTTTAGAGCAGCCTCTCACGTGGCATATTTGTGATTCTAAGTCGGGTTCACTATCCGACGAACAGAAAAGAAACTGTCGAGAGTTGGCAAGCCCGTAGGACTCGAACCTCCACCTCCCTACAAGTCTTCTTGTCAATGAGCTAACTTTTGCGGGCGACTTTCATTGGTCGACGCGGGCTTGCTCGATCGGTTGTATACAACGATAAGTAAGTGTCAATTCGAAGCTCGACAGATACATCTTCGACTCCGATGTCATCAAAACAGCCACGGTTTCAACAGTACTTCTTGAGAGCGCTGTCGTTATAAGGTCAACACTCATCAAGTCGCTGGAAGCCCGAGGGAGGACTCGAACCTCCATCTCCCAATGGCACTGAACGACCTATCGACTGGGACCATCGGTGCTGGGTGACCTACATTAGTCCACCCGGGCTTTCTGGAGCTGTTACATAGATCCATAGGTGCTGCTATATCTGAACGTTGGGAAACTTGAACGCACTTGAGCCAGCAAACGCGCTTCAGAGGAACCAGCGCAGAGTCGTTTAACCTCGCAGAACACAGAACAGCTGAGTCCCAGCAAGATCGCACCGTATGCATTCACGGCAAGTCCAAATACATATCACACTTGGGGGAAGTACAAGTTGAACTCAAGCATGGCGGCGGAGGAACCTAAGATGTTGCTGGCGTGAGGGAACCAGATTTCACCCGAGTTACAAAAGACTTTCAGAACGATTGCATAAATTTCAAATCACAGATACACGCATGATATCGTACCAGAATAAATCATATATGGGTTCGTTTTACATCCTAATTTTCACGCCGCCTCTCCGCGCAATGAAGAAGCCTAGACGTAAGGTATCACGCGGCTCAAACTAAAACGCCACCAACAAACCCGCCAACCAGCGCAATACCCGCCGCGAGCCAGATGCCCTTGGGCGTGCTGAGTGCGAGGGCACCGCCGGGGGCGGCGGAGGAGGCGCCAGGTGCAGCTGTGAATTTAACTGTTAGTACGGGCATTCGGTGAATGGGATGAAGAGAAGAAATAAACGCACCAGAGCTAGCGGAGATGTCCGAGTTCGAGTTCGACGGAGTGAAAGGCGCGGTGGCAGTCGGTTTGGCGGTTGCGGAGAGGGAAGCTGCGATGGGAGGAATTAGTTGACGAGTAGATAATGGACGAGGTAGAAAGGCGACTGAGAGGCAGGGGATGGAAGCGCAGTGCGCGAGGACGACGAGATGCTGCTCAATATAAAGCCACCGAGCGCGTCCCGCATCGATGGAAGGACAAAGTAAAATTGAAAGAAATTTAGGAATGGAATTGAAATGGAAAAGGGAAAACGCCCGAATCGAAAGGAATATGATAAACAGAACAGAAGGAACGCACCAGCTCCGCACTGAGAATTCTGTAGCCCAAGGGCGGCGCCCATCTCGGCCGGCTGGCACTCAGTCGAAAGGCAGGAGCCAGCTTTGAACTGGAAATCGGCGTCGGTGCAGACGCAGGTGACGTTCGTCCTGCAAGTACGTTAGGATTCCGGGAAGAGTGGCGGAAGAGTGGATGAATGGAACGAGAAGCGCGTGGGTTGGTAATGATGTCAAACATAATGCCAAGATCCAACGGTGATATGGATTAGATGGGATGGTGAGATGCAAGGAAAGATGTGGACGCGAACGAAGCGAGTGGATGGAATAGCGAAATGGATTGACCAAGAAAGGATTAAAAACGGACAAACTGGAAAGAGGAGGCAAAGATAGACGACATACGGAGTACCACAGGCCGTGTCCGCCGCTGCCAGACTAATGCAGCTCAACGCGCATGGCGACAAAGCAGCAACGGCAGTTGTGCTAGCCGCCGCACTGGCACCCGAGGCGCTTTCCGCTAGAAACAGCAGCGCTGGCCGACGATGCGGCGCTCGAGGAGGAAGCCGACCTGGAGCTCGCTGAGGCGCTCGCCGACGATGCTGCAGAGTCCGAGGATTGGGCGGCGACGAGAGTGAGCCCAGCGAGCAGGATTGCGAGCGAGAAACGCATGATGATTCCTGGTGGTGTTTTGGGTGGACGGCTGAGGTCAAAGCATGCAGGGAGAGGTGCGAAGTGAAAAGTATGTGGGGCCTGGTTTATATAGTGACGCCGACATGTGGACGCCACATGAGATCATCCTATGTATGTCAATCCAAGGCGTCGGTGGCCATTCACGCTACGGCATGCTTCTTCCTCTCCATGACAAGCCGGCTGTGTCGAGGGCTAGATTGGGGCTTGAGCTTGAGCAGCCTGAGGGCTTGAGACAAGAGTTGCAGTTGTGGAAGAGAAGAAAAAGACACGGGACAGAGATCGATCTAGATCTGCAATTTCAAACTCCGTCATCATGATGGACAGGCTGGCCGATGACGTTGGTCAATCCTTTTTTGCTCCCATGAAGAGCTCTCCGGTTTCCTCTGGTCGGCTCTGAGTCGGACCTCTGACCAGCTCCGTGCATCCGCCCGGTCCAGCGCTATACCTAGGCCAAACCCAGGACCCAGCAAGGACCGCCCGAAAAACCGCCGGTTCATAATTCATTCCGAATCAGTTTCCCGCTCGGCGCTGGCTCCCTCATTGCTCCCTCGTCGTCACAAAATCGCGTTGCTAAGCTGCCCAGTCTTATTTCAAAATCACAGAGGATCGCACCTACGCCCACGAGATGCTTGTACATCTCTCGCTGTCATCTAATACAACATTCCTCCCTTCGATTCCCAACTTGAAGTACCGCCCAGTTTCTACTACTGAACAGCTTTCTGAAGATTCATTCTCCTTCTGCATTCTACATTCCCAGTTATATTTCCGCCAAACGCTCGCGGGTCCATGGCCACTACTCCGTAGACTGTCAATCCTCTCGCACAGCTTCTCCAGCCCAAATCCCGCTCACCTCTGCTTCTGACTCCAACGGAGACTTACCTTCACGCTGATCCATACTTGTTCATTCGTTCTGCAGCCTCTCACCACTGTATGTCGACCTCTACGTAGGGCATCCCTCCTCTACACCGTCTTTCCGTTATAATGACCGTTTCAGCGTGATCTCCTCCGGTCTTCGGCTTGCTCCTTCTGGGAATATCTTCCGCAAACCTGCGCCAATCTGTGAATTCCTTTCGCCTTCTCATGTCCGTCCCGGTTCTCTCACTCAACAGATTCGTCGAGGTTTAGCTAAGAGCGCGCGGCCATTTCAAATCGAGGCTCTTCTCACCTGCGCATTCTAGGCTCATTAATCTCTCTCACTCTCGTCCTAGTTCCCGTAATTTCCAGGTGTTCTCATTTTCCGGTGGTGTCAATTTCATCCGTTCTCAACTCAAGGCTTACTATCTTACTATCGCCTCACAGCTTATTACACCCTTTCCAATTGATAAACGCCCGTTGCTCGCGTCGTCTCTGGGCTCCTTGAGATTCCTTTCATCTCCCCCAACGTTACAACATTACAAGCCAGTCTCTCAAACGATGCTGACCTGCAAAACGCTGGTGGTCAGGTGTGTACCGTACGGTCTAAGGTCTCGAGTACACTTCTGACGTTCCAGATAGTATTTCAGTCTGCGGCATCAATGAATTACGGAGGAAAAGTTGGTAGTCCTGCACTTTCCAGCCTGCTCATAACTGCAATACGGATAACTGAAATATGTTCCAACTTCCAGAAGAAATTACCTATTTGAGGACGAAGGATATGCACTGGAGCTTTGTTGCCAACATGAAGCACGAGCCCACGAGTCAAAAAGATTTTTCGCTCCCGGCATGGACTACTCCCGAATCGAACGGGCGTTCTCTGCTTCGTACTTAAATCTCTTTTAACCGTTCGCAGATGCGTTCCAACGCCAGCAGTCCGTCTCAACCTCTGTCGCAAAGTTTAATATCCAGCAAGAGGTACGATCATCCGCCTATCAATTGGCCATGAACTGATTTGAACTCCCTTTCTATCAAACGGCGCAGAATTGTGAATAAGTTTCAGCATGGAACACCCTGTTTGATCTCGCACTGCTACTAGAGTCGGGGTATCTCATATCTCCAAGTTCAACTCGAAATGAAAGCCAAGTTCGCTTTCATTCGCCCTGCTATGTACGTTCATAATTTGTTGCCTAGTGGTTGAAAATTGAGGTCACGAAGAGATGCAGTGTTACTAATGGCCTGGGTAGTTACCGTAATTTTTGCCCCAGATGGAAAGCAAGGTGACCAAATCACCAGCGGCGGCAAAAGTTGATGCGAGAAGCTACTAATTCATTCGGCCGATGGGAATCGAACCCAGCGTTCCCACTCTACGTCGTGGCGACATGGCAATCAGAAGCGGGTGTGCGCCGCGCACCACGGCCGAGTAACAGCTTCATTTTTTAGTCTGACAAGCTGAAAAATCATGTTTCAAGCTGCACATATCGAAACTGCAACAAACTCCTCCCTAGCGCGGCCTTGCCATCCAACTTTTGAGCCATATCCAGCCTCTTGTGGCCACCCGTCGGTCGGTGGCACCAAGTCGGACAGTTATGCCGCGGGTCTTGGGGCGACACAGCCATAAATTCCATCTAAAAGGAAATGCCCCGGTTTGGGCATCTATTTCACTGATCTGCTCCGGATGCCAGGCAAGATGATCCAAAAATGAAAAAAAAGGCATCTTTGACGGCGGCTGTCCATTCGGCGGCTGGGGATCGAACCCAGCCTTCCCGCTCTCCATCGTTGCAACCTGGCTACCACAAGCGGGCGTGCGCCGCGCACCACGGCCGAGGTAGCAGCTTTGTTACAAAGCCTGGTGAGTAAACGATTCGTTTTTCAAGCCGCTCACATCGAGATTGCGACAAGTTGGGATGTGTGTTGTGGGAAACTCAGCAACGCGGCCTTGCCGTCCGACCAAATAAATATATTAAGGGCTACGGTGCAAACAATTGGGACGGATTGTTCTAGGGTGGGAGGGTGCAGCATTTCCTCGCTCTTGTGAACCTGAAGGGACATCGCTGACATAAGTTATCTGTCAACCGGGTACTGACCGAACTGTTCAAAAGTTGTGATGAACGCGAATGTGCGTGCTGCATGTTGTAGGATTTTGAACAGCGAGTCCGGAGAAGCGGAACCATCGATAGCTTGATGACGATCCTATACATACCATTTGAAGTAACCAAAAGGAACGGCATGCTAGCTGAATTGGACAGTACCCAGGTCCGCGAATCTTCATCCGGAGGCATTCAAGCTGTAGTCATGAATTCCGGAGATTACGGTTCAAAATTCCATTAAAGAGGCTCGTGGCTCGCCAAGATGTACAGCGTTTGTTTGATCCAGTGAAAAGTTAAACGTTACGCCTGCTACCGCCAGCAGCAAATGATCAGTGTTTGCAGTTCCTGCGAAAGGATATTAGTTGCGACAATGATCTGTGCAGTAGAAACAACTTGAAATGCTCACCTTCACGCCGACGGAGGAACCCAAACTTGAATCAATCGTAAGCTTCGCGTCTGGAGGGATCCAGCGCATTTTTTCCATCGTGCCCCAATCTTCCCTCCTCCGCAAAATCTGTGGAACAACAGCGCGATTAGCGCCAGCCCGCCAAATCGAGAGACACATACACAATTTAAACTCGCACAAACAGTGACACATGTCAGATATCCCTCAGCCATGACACATAATCACTGCATCTACTCGAAAGGGGGGGACAAAGCGCTCACCGTTCCAGCCAGAAGGAAATGAGAAAAAACACTTTGCGAGAGGATGGCCATGTCCCCGGACGAAAGCGAACCGTCGAGGCAGGGGCAATCCTCCAGGATCGACAGGAACATATATCTGTGAAACGCGTGAAATAACTGTTAGTGGCTAGAAGTCTAAGGTCTTTGAACGGTGCGGTATCCCGCATTTCGGGGGCTGCAATAAATCCAGTCGTTCGAGAGTTGGTCAACTAGAATCCAATCCAGTCCGAAGGCGGAAACGACTGCGAGTCCAGGCTTGCGGCTCGATATCTGGGATTCATTCTGAATGCTATCGCAGTGCGGAGCTTGAGGGTGAACCAAGACGTCGAATCTCGGCCGACGTCAGGCAGGGAAGGAAGTGGAATTACGAGGAGTAGTGACAGCGCAAAAGCTACGGGGCCTGGAGGTCGGTTCCATTGAGCCCCACAGCGCTGCGAATAGGTAACCTAGAAGTTATACCTTAGTATACGTCACACAATGATTTATATAAGTCACTATAAACACGAGCAGCACTCACCATTAAGAAAACATACTGATGCTTCTGGCGCTCCACGGCAAGCTTAGCCTGTAGGACCTTTAAAGTTGTGCGCTCCTTGTCGCATTCTGCCCCGGTTATCCAGCTCGTCGAGTCGTTAAGCCCGGCCGCCTGGACTCCAATAAAATCCTCCGTTCTTGCTGTTGTGGTATTCCCTGGCGTCGGTAGGCTCACTGAGAGCTTTTCAGAAAAGTGTAAACATATTTGGAGTGGGAATGGGCTAGCATAGGTGAAACAGAGTCGAAAGGTGCATTATGGTGAAGGGCAAGCCCGTTCTTGATTTGATCCGTTGATGAATTTGCACAGCCATCCAACCATCTTTTGCTTCCTCCGTCCATGATGGTCTTAGACTGAGCCAGTTTAAGCCGCCGGCCCTCGCCCAACCATTCCAATTTTCAAGCTAATCCTCGCGGTTTTCATTTCCGTTGCGCCAAGAACGTATAGCTCTTCCCGCTATCCTTCTACGCCGGTAGTGCTGCGCCGCCGACGACGCCTCCACCCTCGCGATGCCCAATGCCCGGAGTTCTACCCCTCGCTCTTTCGTTGCTCGCGAACGATTGTTTTCCTCCGCCCAAACCCTCCTCTGATTGTGCGCCTTTCTGCAATCTTCGCTTCCGGAGGCCCAACTTCGATCATCGTACACGAACGATCCGGATGTGCATGGATGGGATGCAGAACAGAGAGATGGCTTGAGTCTAGGTGCGTATCGCCGCTGCACATGTCGCTCGCCTCGCCCCTCCCTACCTTCTCAATCTCCTCTATCTGCGCTCCACCGCATCCGCCATCCATTCTCCCCGCGCAGATTACCCTTCCCACCCACTCCTTTACTCTTTCACCAAGTGCGCACAATCCTTCCTTGGCCTCATTTTTATTTCCTCCTTCCTTGCATCCAGGACCAGTCCCTCTCCGACTCGCTCTTCACCGCCTCCGTATTCTTACTCCTACGGCAACAGGATCCGCAAAACTTCGCGACCACGGCTATTCGATTGAACCGATGCGCTTCCCATCGCCCAAAACGCCGCTGCTCTGTTGAAGCACCATCTCTGACCGTCACTCCGACAGCGCAGTGTTGGCGCAGTGTACAAATATCTGCCCGCCGGTGTATGCTGAGAGTTCGGAAAGGATGGGAAGCTTTGTCTTGGCCGAGGTGCGTTGGGAATTGCCTCCGTTCAATCTTGTTTGTCCGCTTTCTTCCCATGCCCTCTGTCATTCCCTGGTCGAGTCGTCCACACCCTCCTGCCATATCTGAACGGAAAATTCCCTCAAATGATTACTGGTATCCTTCTCATTCCTCGGTCGCGTCAGTTTGCCCTTCAGCCTCGTTCGACGATGATTCCGAGAAGATGGCACCATCCCGGCGAGCTGTGCGGGGACTCCCCTCTTGATCTTCGACGCTCACTTTCGCTCAGGTTATCGACAGTCGTCGCGGGGGCACAGCGCGATCTCGGCGTAAAGATAAAACAACCTGCTTATATGCAAGACTGCGTCTGGCGCGTAACGCGCCGCAGATAAGCAGTTCTCACGTCATACACCTGCGGCGTACTCCCGACACCAGAGCGGCCTAAGGCCTGCCTTTCGGTGGTATAATTGAGGCTATCGGAACGCATGCTAAGAATCTTTTCCCAGCCGGCGATGTCCATGGACATGACGAGGATCCGTGGCCTATGCCTCGACTCGGAAGGTGCGTACTATTTCATAGCTCCTTTCTTCCACTGTCCCACTCGATCTGCCGACGACCAGTGCGAATTGTCGGGTGCATGAAGGTGCCAACCCTACTGGTTGGTCCCGTAATCAGTCTTCGTGCCAACTTGCGGCGATGCACAACGAACGCTTGCACCCTTCGTCTACAGTCAAGTAAGTAGGGTTAAAATTTTGTTTCCCTCGCGTTTTTATCTGACGTTATTCCAGTTTGTCCGAGACACAGGTCAAGGCTGGGATAAATACCCTGACCGCGACGAACACATGAGAGTGGAATAACGAATAATAGTGCGTGTTAGCTTCTTTGCACTCCTTTGCCTCTTCTCCTCTCCGCGTCCATCCCATTTCCGCATCTACTCCGGCCTTCATTAATATTCTAATTAAGCATACCCTTCGCAAGAATCTCTTATTTTCCTTTCAGTCGATATGCTTCCATTCTGACCTTGCAATGGTTTAGTTCTCTGATCTGCTCGGCGGGCGCAGGTCGTCAAATCGGCATAGTTCGGACGGTTCATTGCGATTTCTCGGTCTCCGAAGTGTAGCGTGCGTCCAACGTTTGACCGTCATAGTTCATGCCCTTCCGCTCTGAACAACTTTCGCCGTGGGTCAGTGCCAAATTCCCATCCGCGCGCTCTCTGATTTTCCACTCGCAGCAGCGATTTCAATTACTCATAAGCACGATTAGCACACGCCGTCGCAACAGGAACACGTCGGGCACACGCCCTCATGGTGCACGGTCTCCACTTCGCGACAGCGTCGGGAGGGCCATCGTCCACAGTCGAACCTCGGCAGGTAAGCTATTCTTCCTCTCGACTTGAAACCCACCGATTTATTTCCAATCGTCGATGGAGTGCTGGCGAACGATTGCCGATAAGCAACGCGGTAATCGAGGCCTGCACGCGTTTTCATATATCCCGAATCCCAGACCAGAACACAAACATGTCAAGCGCTCCACTATATTCTTCTTGCGTTTGTGAGACGGTGGTGCGTTCTCACTACATTGTCCAGCATGATGTCCACTTTTGCATCCGGAGACCTCTCACAAACATTCTGTTCCCAAGTCCTTGCTCAACCAGCATTTCCATGGCATGTATCTGGGGGAGTTCTTACGTCTGGAATTTTCGGACATAATCCAATGCCAGAGCTCACCTTTTGAAAAAAGGACGTTCGGACGGCTCCTTTTTTGTCCCGAAAATGGTGCATCTCCAGTCTCTCGCTGAATCCGCTTATACTAAAGTTCGATACATGTTTTAGGTTGCATGGTGAATCGCACCTGTATTGGTCCAATTCTTGGCCTCGATAAATAGAGAGTTACATTTGCATTTGCCAGTGATTGCATCTCGAATGAAACACAAATATCGCGGGCGTGGGTACGGCCTTTATTTCTAATCGGCGCGGTTACCCCGCGTTCCACCCAAAACGCCGCTGCCCTGTTGAAGCACCATCCCTGACCGTCACTCCGACAGCGCAGTGTACAACCATCGGGTGTATGCTGAGAGTTCAGAAAGGATGGGAAGCTTTGTCTTGGCCGAGGTGCGTAGCATTTGATTGTCTCCCTTCACTTCTCGTTTGCCCGCTCTCTCCTCATGCACTCTGTCAATGCCTGGTCCAGTTGTCTACCGCCCTGCTGCCATATCTAAACGAACAATTCCCTCAAATGATTACTGGTATCCTTCTCATTCCTCGGTCGCGTCAGTTTGCCCTTCAGCCTCGTTCGACGATGATTCCGAGAAGATGGCACCATCCCGGCGAGCTGTGCGGGGACTCCCCTCTTGATCTTCGACGCTCACTTTCGCTCAGGTTATCGACAGTCGTCGCGG